CATTGATGTGTTGACTTGCAACTAGTGACATCTACTTGAACTAAAGAAGGTGGGGATAATAATGACTAGTTCAACCTTAGACTACATGTTGGGAGTGAGTAAAAAGAAAAATAATTGGTGGTGTGTGAATCATACGAGATATGAGATGATATATTTGATCATAGAGGGTCGAATATTGAAACAACTCGTATATTTGTGATTGATTACTTAATTCTTTACACAAAAATAAATTTTGGATTGAAATAGTGGATGTTGGTTTGGTGTTGTCCCTTTGCAACATGTTTGTGAAGGTAACGCTAAAATCTTGAATCTTGAGACAAAAAGCCAGATTGTCTAACCAAACATTTCTGCTTGCATGTGTGTATTTGTTGTTATTTAGATTATGGTTTTGTTTGAGGACAAACTAATGTTTAATTTGGGGATGCTTGATGAGCGTATCTTATATACTTATTCTAAGCCTAAAACGGTAATATTTGGTAGTTCTTTTGACAAAATATATCCTATATTATTGTATTTTATGTTATGAAGGTAAAACTCAATGGTTGAACAAAGAATTGAAAAAACAAAAGAAAATCTAGAAAAAAGTAAAATACAAAAGAGAAGGTCAAAGTTGCAGCAATCTAGTAGTTGAATCAGACCATGACTTGAATATTGAAAGTGCTAGGGGATCAATTGAATGCTCTTGGAAGCTAAGAGAGCTAACTATAGGTAAAAAAAGGAGGGAAGAGATGATACATGAAGTTCGGGGACCAAAATGTGAAAAGATGAAGAACGTAGCTAAAAATTGTAATATGCAGTCATATAGTACAATTTACCATACTGTCTCATGGTGCCCTACAGAAAAAACATCAAAGCATCACACGTGAACTATGCGACCACAACACAATGAACTATGTGGTCGCCTAGTTATAAAAATGTGGCGAATCTCAGGTTTCGTTATACGATTAAAACGCAACTTGGCTTGGTTTTGGGCGATATCTTTGATCTAGATTCGAGCCATATAAATACTAGAACATCCCATACATATGGGATAGCCTCTTTTGTGGAATAAAAACAACTTAAGAACTTGAAGGTTTTGAGAGAATTATATTGATACAGAGGGCAAAAGTCAAATTTAAGAGAGCTTTTGATCGAGGAATTGCAAGAAGATTATCAAGGAACTTTATACCAGGAAATTCGTGCAAGGATTGGGAGGAAAATTGAAAAAATATCAAGAATTCATCATTTCTATTCAATGATTCAATTTTCGGGTGATATTTATTAAACAGTCAATGATTTCTTGTAATTTTTACATGCTCAGCTAGATTTTTACATTGCTGGATGAGATGAACCGTTGTTATGATATTTTTAGTTTGAATAATCGGATTGGCATTAATTTGTTTGAATGGTTGGATCTTTATTGTACACTATGCTTTACATGATTTCTATAAATGTTCTGGCTCGGTTAATGCTTTCTTGTATGTTCATATATTTCATAAAGATATAGGAAGGTCACATACAGTAATATGTTTAGTTGCTATTGAGAGAAACTTTTAAATAAAATAGGAATATTGATCAACAAGAATGATATCAAATTGTCACTTTCAATTGTAAAACTAAAATGGATGAACAAAAGAGACTCTACATCTTAGAATTACATCTCACAATTTTGATAAAACTTTCCTTTGCTTTCGAATTAGTTGATAATTTAGACATTAATTGCTACAACTCTTTATAATTGCTATTCGATTAAGAGTATTAATAGCTTTAACCCGATCAAACAAATAGTCCCGTCGGTTTGACACTTAATTTACCATTATATTACTTGATCATGATTCAATGTTAAATTTCAATCAATTTAAAATTTATATAGGGTGTGTTTGAGCCCCTTTAATTTTTCAAAATATATTATGGAATAGTAGATTGATGGAGGATGTGTGGTTACAAATATGAATTTTTTTTTTGATTTGTGTGTAATATTATAATGAAACATGTGTGGTAAAAAATGAGTGTCGTTAAAAAAATAATGTGATGGAATGTGATATAATGGGTGACAAACAGGGGCTTAATAATACATAGAAATTATAATACCAAATGTAGTTTTAACAAAATAAATATAATTTTGAACAATAAACAAGATATATTATAAGAATGATGCTAGAGAGACGACTATGTCCCCCATTGGCTGGGGGCCGTCCCCCATTGACCCCTAGTCATGTGTTCTCCTTGGACGGACATAACCAACATCGCCCTATCCATCTAGAATAATCCATATTATAACTGTTCTAATTGAAATATTTAGAGTGTTTTTAATTTTTATTAATTAGTAAAAGATAGAAAATTAATTAACTTAATAAAATATAGACAATGTTAGGAAAAGAGAGAAAAAGAGAAGGGAGGATAAAAATCAATAGATTTGTGTGGATTTTATTAAGAACCAAAGCTCTATATTTATATAGATAAATCAGGGATAAAACGGTAATAATTTCTAGGACTTCAGGGATACAATTGACATTCACTAATAAACTTATTATTTACAACAAATAACTATTTATATAATAATACAATATACTACAGCCAAATCAAAGGTACAATAATAGGAGAAAATGCTAGAATTGCAAAATTTAACCCAAAATAATTGTTGCTGCTTATTTTTATTGTGTCACCATCTAAATATATCTATTTGTAAATGCTTGTCATAATTTGTTCATCTACATGCTTGAAAGTGCTTAAGACTTTCTTCTTTCTTCCTTTGGAATTTCTTTGTGAAAAATGTGTGAAAAAGGATGGTTTCTATGTGTTGAAGAATAAAAACCTCCTCTTAGTGAGAAGTATCGAATATTGTAATTTTGAGAAGATTTTTTGGTTTAGTGTTTTTTGTGAGTTAAGTATCGACCGAATAAACAGAAATATCAAAGCAGTAGAAGAAATAACATGGAAACAAATATTTACCTAGAAATAATCATTAATAATTTACAAAGAAATGAAAATGAACAAAAAGGGGGAAAAAATTGCTCCAGATGAGGGTTTTAATTTAGCTACAGGTTAGTTTAATCTAACCTAGTTTCATCCTAGGGAGGCAAAAAATAAAAATGAACTATAGACTTCTAAATTTTTTTTGCTGAGAAATGTGACTAATGCCTAAAGAATTTTGAACATTTTGTATTCTAAGAGTTATTTTCTTCATTAATTGATGTTAATTCTACTTTTGCAGAATCACTATCATTTTGCTGGTCAGATTCACAAATTTCTGCCTTCACTAGAAGTGAGACCTGTGATGTCTTGGATGGATTCACGGCTTTTTTTCCCATCATCGTGTCTTGAACGAAAGTTTGAAGAGATGAAAGTAAAGCACATTTGACTGCTTAGGGCAGTCAGGGCAGTAAACTTTCATCGGATTGATGTCTCTGAGCAAAATATGGCAAACAAAGTAATTGATCCTACTATAATGAAGAGGCCTCCAAAGTTGTAAAAAGTTAGACTGGAAGTCTATTGCGAAACTATTGAGGAAAGTGGATCTTGAGACGAGTAGATAGGTCCAAAATTTGTGATCACGAAGGGGCCTAAAGTCGGGCGATTATTTCCTTTACAATTTACTATTCCTGCTGCTATGTCATTATCTTGTAATAGTGTTGGACCTCGACATGAGATTTGGCATAAGAGATTAGGGCATCCAAACACTTTAATTTTGTCACATTTGTTGAAGCGTGACTTTTTGGGTAATAATGTTCAGTATCAATTCTCAAATTTGAATTTTGATTGTGATGCGTGTAAACTTGGAAAAAGTATGATTCTTCCGTTTTCCACTAATGGTACTCGAGCTAATAAGTGTTTTGAAATTGTTCATAGTGATGTTTGGAGCATAACACCTATCACTTCCCATGCTCAGTGTAAATATTTTGTAATGTTTATTGATGATTTCGATCGCTACACTTGGATATATTTTCTTCGCTCTAAGATGAGGTCAATAACACTCTTAAGACTTTTGTTGCTCACATTGAGAGACAATTCTCTACTAGCATTCAGATTCTAAAGTCCGACAATGGAGGAGAATATATATCTCGTGATTGTTAGAATTTTTTGCAACAAAAGGGTATTCTTTCTCAACGCTCTTGTCCATCTACTCCCCAATAGAATGGGGTTTCCAAACGAAAGAATCATCACTTGCTAGATGTTGTTCAAGTTCTAATTTTGGAATCCTCGATTTCACCTAGATTTTGGGTTGAGGCGCTTTCTACGATTATACATCTGATTAATCGACTGCCAGCTCAGCATTTGGATTTTGACTCACCTCATTACCGTTTGTATGGTACACATCCTAGTTATGATATGCTACATACATTTGGGGTGTGTTTGCTTTGTTCATCTTCCTCATGAACGTCGTAAACTTGCTGTCCAATTCGTACAATGTGCTTTTTTGGGTTATAGTTTGGCTCATAAAGGTTTTGTTTGTTATGATGGAATTGCTAATCTCTTTCATACATTTCTTAGAATGTGGTTTTCTTTGAGAATCAGTATTACTTTCAATAGCATATTGTGCCTTCTTTTGATTTGGCACCGCTCATTAACTTTGAGGATGACTCGTGATCTATTGAATGCTTTAAACAAGGAGTGGTATATCAAAGATGAAGGCCCCTAGCTCCACTGCCCCTTCTCGACCCTAATCCCATTCCAATTTCTACTACTCTTCAAAGATCAACAAGTTCTACTCGTCCACTTGATTGATATGGTTATTCTACAACCTCATCTCATATCACAGTCCCTACTTTTTATTCTCAAGCAGTTACACAACCGTGTTGGGAAAAAGCTATGCAAGAAGAACTTCAGGCTCTTCAAGAAAATTACACATGGGATATTGTTCCTTGTCATCCTGGCATCAAAGTATTGGATGTAAGTAGGTCTATTCTGTTAAGTTTCGCTCTGATGGATCGCTAGAGCGGTATAAAGCTTGGTTAGTGGCTCTTGGAAATCGTCAAGAGTATGGAGTAGACTATTAGGAAACTTTTGCTCCTACTGGCAAAATGACAACAGTTCGAATAGTTCTGACTATAGCTATCTCCAAAGGATGGTCTTTACAGCTGATGGATGTTAAGAATGCATTACTATACAATGATCTTAAAGAAGAAATTTGTATGATACCCCCCGCATATCTCTTTTCGATTCCTTCCTCCAATGTGTGTAAGCTCAAGCACTCGCTTTATGGGTTGAAGTAGGCTCCTCTGGTTTGGTTTGACAAGTTTTGCTCTACTCTCTTGGGTTTTTCATTTATCCAAAGAAAATATGATTCGTCTATCTTCATCTTTGATACCAAAGCTGGTACTGTATTGTTTTTGGTCTATGTAGATGATATTGTTATTACCGGAACTGACTCCGAATTAATATCTCAACTCCAAAATCGATTGAAGGATTCTTTTCACATGAATGATTTGGGTCCTCTATAGTATTTTTTAGGTCCTAAGGTCCTTTCTAGTCCGGCTGAAACTTATCTACATCAGCATTAGTATATAAAGGAGTTGATTGCTTTGGCTGGACTTTCGGATGGACAATCAGCTGATACTCCTTTGGAGGTAAATGTTACGTATCGTAGAGAGGAGAGTGATCATCTTTTTTATCCTTCGTTATATCGCCAGTTTGTGAGTAGTTTGAATTATCTTACTATTACTCGACTCGATATCTCTTTTGCCATACAACAAGGATGTTTGTTTATGCATGCTCCACGACATCTCCACTTAGCCATGGTTCCTCGAATTATTTGTTACTTGCTGGGTACACCTGATAGGGGTCTTTTCTTCCCTACCAATTCTTTCTTTTGAGTTGGTAGGCTACTGTGATGCTTATTGGGATGGGTATATGAATACTTGTCATTCAATTATAGGTTGGTGTATGTTTCTTGGCAGTGCCCTTATTCCCTGGCACAGTAAGAAGCAAGATCGTGTCTCTAAATCTTTCACTGAATCTAAATATCGTTCTCTACCTGCTCTGATATTATTTGGCTTCGAGATTTGCTACCAGAGCTTGGCTGCCTTCAACTTAACCCTACACCACTTCATGCTGACAATACTAGTGCCATTCAAATTGTTGCTAATCATGTATTTCATGAGCGCACTAAACACATCGAAGTGGATTGTCCCTTTATTCATGAGGCTTATGATAGTCCCACTATTATAGTTCCGCATATTCCCACTGAAGCTTAAATTGTTGCAAATTGATGTTTTTTGATCATCCAGCATCAATTTGAGGGGGATGTCAATAAGATCATGAAGATTATGGATGAAGATTACGGATTGATATACTACCATATTTAGATTGTAATAATAATTAACCTATGTAATTTTGGGAATTCCATATATTGGAAGGATCCCACACTCGGGAAATTCAATTCGGCCAAAACATTGTTAGTAAGAAATCTCATCAAATATGGCATCTATGCCTCCTTTTTCACTAACTCTAGATATAGTGATGTGGTGCAAAAGGAATTGGACTTCATGGGACCGGCGCAAGAAAAATAATTTGTAGGAAATTTGGAGTTGTCCGTTTTTGACGAATTTGTAGTCTATTGTGTCTGATCGGGATATTCATTTCCTTAGTCACTTTTGGCACAGCTTATGGCGTTTGGTCAATACACGGTTGCATTTTAGCAGTGCATATCATCCTCAGACAAATGGTCAAACGGAGGTTGTGAACCGTTCCTTGGGTGATTTGCTACGTTGTTTGGTCAGTGATCATGTCAAGTCTTGGGATAAAAAATTATGTCAAGTCGAATTTGCTCACAATCATGCAGTTAACCGAAGTACAGGCTTTAGTCCTTTTCAGGTGGTGTATGGTCTTGTTCCTCGTAGTCCTCTTGATTTGGTTCTAGCTTCTACTGCTGTTAAAATGTATGGTAAAGCGGAGGATTTCATTCAACAGTTGCAGCAGGTTCATCCACAGACTTTTGATCATTTGCAGGCGACTGTTACTAAGTACAAACATGATGCGGATCTTAAACGTCGCCATGTTGAGTTTGAAGTTGGTGACTTTGTTTGGGTGGTGTTGACAAAGGATTGTATTCTTGCTCATGAATATACCAAGCTTGCTACAAGAAAAATTGGTCCATTGGAGATAATTGAGAAGATTAATTCGAACGCATATTGTTTAAAGCTGCCCAGTCATATTCGTACATCCAACATTTTTAATGTCAAGCATCTGGTGCCATTTCATGGTGATAATTCTGATAATGACGTTATTCCTCCGCTAGACTCGAGGGCGAATTTTTCTCATCCGTGAGGGAATGATGTGGTGCAAAAGGAATTGGACTTCATGGCAAAGTGGGACCGGTGCAAGAAAAAATAATTTGGAGGAAATTTGGAGTTGTTCCTTTTTGGCTAATTTGTAGTCTAATTCCTTCATTTAGGCCCTCGTTTAGGTCTTTTTTCCTTTTTTGATAATTCTTATTTTGAGTATTTCTCAATCAAATAAATTTGGATTTACATTCCGTTTGTTGGAAAGTAATCCTGAAGATTAGGACTATCAATTTCTGCCATTATCTTTATTTTTTTTCATTTTTGGAAAAAAAAAACTTTTTTTTTTAATTATTTAATTTCCGAATTTTCTATGTTTTTGCTATAAATATGTTGTACACCTCTTGAGGCCGCAGATTAATTTGAATGAAATAAAAATTTTCATGAGTTTTCTTCTTTGTGAGGTTTGTTCATCTTCCGTATAACTTCCGCTACGTCACATAGTCTCATGGTAGTCTTCAACTGATGAGTAGCGTTTGAGCCTTGACTTGTTAATGTGAAGTTGCTCTTTCAAAAATTCTTTCATGAAGGAACCCTCTTGATATCACACATAGCAATCCTCAGAAAATGAAAATTTTAATTGATCTACCGTCAAAATTGTCGATAAGCTTGTTGTGTAGCTCTGTATAAAGATGAATGCCATGAACAGCCAAAACACCAATACAAATATTGACCTGCTATTAGCCACCTTATTCCCTGTCAAGAATATGCGCAGTCTCATGTGAATCAAGTAGTCTTCATGGTGTAGATTGAAAAATGTGGTGTGTTTCTAGCTCTAGCTTATAGGTGCGGACTAAATATTCAGTAATTTAACTGGACATTTTTTATTCAGTCTTGAACAACTGGTTTTGTGTCTATCACTGTGTCCGGTTTTCCATGTGACAGACACAGAAGCGAATTGTTCCCGACTATCGAAGGAGAATTAAGATGAGTGAAAAGTAAAAAAAAAACTCAAAAATATGTACAAATTACTTTCAGGAAATGGAAGAACTGCTACCGGAGACCAGTAGATCATTCTAAGTCTCTCCCAGTGTGGCCTAATGGACCCATCGTTGGTGTTTCGTACTCCGCGTTCTAATAATCGGAGAACAATTCCCACCAAGACGCAAGCCAGGATGATTGCCAGCCAAAAATCCCATTTCAAAGGTTTAATAAAAATCCACATGTCAAACGGCTTCTTATTTTTTACCATTAGAATGACTCCTGGTTCTGAATATGGTAGCGAAAAATCAACAGAGTTTGCTCGTGGTGCCCAAATTGTCGTGTCTCCCACCACCATGTCAAACATCTGTAATTTTATTTTCGCAAGTTAGAAAAAGGCGAGGAGGTGCTATAAATCTTTTTGTAAGCATGAAGGTCTGTTCGAATACGATCAAATATAAACAAAGAGAAATGAAGAGTAATGACAAGAAGATCAAAGTACCTGAGGTATGCTGTGAAGCATTCCATCATAACTCCAATTAGTGTCGTTACTGTCATTATAATGATGAAATTCATAATTAATAGGTAAAGGTAACCCTGGCAATGTAGCCATGATGATATCAATTGAAAAACCAGTTGCATTTGTACGATTTGTTTCAGGATCTATTGTTACACTAACAAATTCTCTGAATCCATTTTTCACGGGAGCCTGGACTCTCAGTTTTCCTGTTGCAGGAATAGCCCAACCCTTTTGGTTGCGTGACAGAATCTCCAGGCCACAAGACATTTTTTAGATTTTCTGTAGATGTTGAGTATGTAGGTTCACCAGTTGAAATTAATTCTCTGGATATTCCTCTATCCAGTGTCCAAAATCCCACGGTTTTCTCTCCAGTTCCAATTAAATTGAATATCTCAAAGGCTGGAGGTTTCAATTGCCCATTAATCAATTGAATGTCTCCACTCAAGCCTCTTAATTTTGTGTTTGACAATTTACTCAGAAGTTTTGGTCCAAATGCTGAGATTTTCATGTTAGTACCGTCTGTTCCATTTTTGCTCGTGTTCACATTCAGTAAGCTGGAGTTTACCGGTCCAATCTTCTCAGCTGCAATTACCAAGGAGCACACTGTGTCATAAACCCACAAACCATAGACATTGAAGTCCCTAATTGAACCTGCACTTTTCTTCGTAACCATATTCCTTTGCCACCTTTCTTGGAATGGTCAAGCTTTTCTGACCTGGATACATAAGGTCTTATGCCCAAAACACCTTTCATTGAATCACGAGCAACAAAATCCATAGAATTTAAGAAGTTTGACAAATAGTCAGTGATAATCCACGCGTACCCTTCAATCATCATTCCTGCTTTTTTGGCATGAACAAATAGCCGGTGACCAAGTGACGTGTTCATGTGTACCAGGAAAACCCTCGTTTGCTTTTCTTTAAGATTGTTAAATTCTTCCTGTTGACACATAAAAATTCAGCCCAAGTCGAACAGCCCAAGGGGTAAAGCCCAATTGGAGAATCCCAAAAACAGACGGCCCAAAGAATGAAGTCCAATCAAACGAGTCAAGGTGAAGGCCCAAACAAGGGGCCCAAGAATACGGTAATGCCATCGCCCAAGTTTGCAAGTCGCTCAGAATCTGAACGAACGGGTGTCATACGGTCGCCCAGAGCTGTTATTCTATTCTCGCCCAAACCTTCAAGTCGCCCAAGGTGTCAACAAATATAACGCATCGTAATTATCAAGGAATGCAGTTATCAAGGCAGTTGTTAAAGCAGCCTTATCACGTTCCACAACTCAAGGAAGTCAATCGAAGGCAGTTGGACGATGAAAGATAATGGCAGCAATTAAAAGGCGGTTTCATGACAAAATGGCCACTACAAAGAAAGTGGGTAGTTATAGGACGATCAAGCAGTTATCAGAGTAGTTAATCACAAAGAGATCGTCTATGAGGCATAAAAGGGAGAAAAGGCGTAGAAGCGAAAGACCCAAATCAAAAACTCTCGAACAGAGAATATGTAATTTTCATTTTCTTTAGCTTTTAGACTTAAACACTTTCCTTTCTGTAACTCGTGTGCTTGCGCCCCTTGGAGGCACGTTGTTTTTCGTTTCCAATTGTAAAGTTCATCACCAATAAAAGAACACCCCTTTTTGGGACTTTGTCTCAAGAGGTTTCGTCCCTTACACAATCGTCTGATCCCCTTTAATTGTTAGCGAGTTAACCCGCGCGAAACA